CGGATTGCGAGACATTTTTGGGACACACCGTATACCATACCACGACCGTAAACTTCGCGATAACGCTAAAACAATTTTGGACACACGTTAAGCGGATTTCCTACAGCACGTCCGCTGTAACTCCGCGGTCTGCGCTCCGGTTTTCCGGTACAATGGCAGCCGGTTGAATTCGTTTCGCCGAAGAATGGATCGTTAATTTCGTCGGCGGGGAAGGGTGAGGGTCGCGGCTCGGCTCGACGTGACGTCGCGTCGCGACGCTGTGGCAGGCCCGAGGGTCGATCGCGGTCCGTATATCTCCCCTTTGTCCAGCGCACGCGGAGAGACGGAGGATAGGTCGTTCTCTGCAGCCGTCTGTAATTAGAACGCAGATAACGAGAGAGCCCGTTCGATAGAGTCTGGCCACGGTCATCGGCTCCTATCGGACGTTTGCCAACCTACATACCTAGAGGATCACGGTGCTCGGTGATCCGGGCGCTGCTCCCGCAGCGAGCCGTCGAAGACGAGAGTCTCTCGGCGACGAGGATCGACGGGTCCGCGGCGGGCCAGCCGCGAGAGTAAGCCGTTCCGCGACGTCGCTCTTGCAACCAGTTTATCGGCTGAAAAGTGTCGACGCTGATACCCAGAACAAGCCGCGCGGCTCTAACCCGGTCGAGCTACAAAAATCTCTTAAGCCGAGCGCGCACGCGAACAGTAACAAACTTTATCACCGAAGGTATCGCGCGGCATTTTTGTACAGCGAGCCTCGTCGGGGCAAGCCTCGCCGATCCAGGCTAATGCCACCGATAATTCCATCGATGATCTCACGGCTGCACGCTACCGTAAAACTTTCCCGGCCGCGAACGCGAGCGTGAACGCGATCGCGAACGCAAAAAGCAAATGCAAAACGCGAGCGCGCGGCTCGCGGTTTCGCGTTCTGCGATGATTTTTATCCTTGGAGGACGGGCCTTGCGAAGCTCGAAGCAGGGTCATTCTCTGACCCACGATGAAATCGAGCGCGAACAGATTCCAAGGTGTGATTTTTTTCATCGAGTGACCGACGTTCGTCCTGCAAGGGTTGAAACGACGCGAGACGCGCCGCGCAAAGAAATGTCGCATCTTCGCGACGCGAGCGACTGTCCAGCTCTCGTCCCGTTCCTCGACCTGTTCCCTGGGGTGCCCCGGTTCGAACAATACTCCTTAATGACGCTCCCAGCGGCCCATGTTCGCCGGTCCCTTCGGACCATCTGTCCTTTGTAACCTAAAACTCGTTTCGAAAGAACTCGCGCCGCCGCCCGGTGTTTCGTGCGCCGTTCGGGCTGGCCCTCGACGCCGGTTCGAGCTAATTGTTACCTTTGCCTCAGCTTTTACACTCGTGTCATCAAAATTATCGGCAGCGCGCCCGAGACTTTTGATTCTGTTGTTAGGGTACAGCGAATTCTGCTCAATTTTACGACAGATTGTGTACAAAAATGGACAATTCGGGAAGAAAAGACACGATTATTTGTGCCTTGCACCTCGTTCTCATAATTATTGACAATCGGCAAGTATAGAAATGAGCAGCGAGGCTCAAATAATCGTATTTTTTCTTCCCTAATTATCCGTTTTTGTTTATAAGCTGAGGGAAAGTTAGGGAGAATTTATTGTATATTTAAGTCTTTTGAAAACGCCGACACACTGAGACTGCTCTATTGTTCCTTGATCGAGCTACACTCTCCTCCAAAAGTATTACAATATATTATTTAACATAAATTACAATTTTTCATTCGGTTCAGGCACTGTCTGCGATTTTCATGGCATCATAAATGCAATGAATAGAAATTCGATGCAAATATCTTTCTTCTTCGAACAATCGGAACAAGTAGAAACAGTTTTCGCTGTACGCAATAATAATTACTAGCTTTTAATTACTAGATTGTTCGTATTTGTGTGAAAAATGAGCATTTCGAACGACAAGCTATCGAAAGATCAAAAGCACTTAACAGCGTCGATACGTTATTCTCGACCTATTAAAATCATTGAGGAAAAAACACAACGTTCAAGTTGCTCTTATTTTATTGCAACAGATGCAGACAATCTTTATCTCGCGCAAAGATCCGCAGTCCGATAATGCCGTAAATCTAGATGGCGACACGCGGTGTCCTATCTTGTAATTAACACTAGATTTACGAAACGCGTCAAAATGACGGGTCGCTAATTTTATAATTTTCGATTATTCATATCATAAAGATACATATTTATGAGTTATTTATTCAATTCATATGTTACTTACAACGTATTCATTGTAACATGTTATTATTATTATATATATTATATATATTATTATTATATATTATATATATTATTATTATATATATTATTACAAATGTTAACACGTTGAATGCCACGCCGGTTTTACAGAAATGAATTTTCTTTTATGTGAAACATATAATGTTGAAATATTATCTGCAATAGAGAAGTTACAGTGTATAACCATGTTTGACATGTTAATTGCGACAGGGGTCACTGTTTGAATCGACGATGGTAATAATACAAAATTTTAGATATTGACATTTCTTTTAAATTATATATATTTCTATCAATTTGGGCGCGCCGGTCACCGGTGGCTCCCATGGCGTCACCGCCAAGTTAAGTGCCGGTCACCGATGACCCCCGTGGCATTCAACGTGTTAAAAAAACAGAAGAAATCTCTTATTGTTACTCTTACAAACTGATATAAAACAGCTGTCCTTTGTGCTCCGTAAATCTAGCGTTGCATCGCGAATTCAAATCTGCGCATTCCACGCTGCACGTTGTTCTCTCACGTCCACCGAAGGGCTCCGGCCATTGACAATAAATCAAACGAATGGTAACGGCTACGTTGGCGGAGACATCGGCATCCGAGATATCGGCGGACGAGAAAAGAAAACGAAACGAGCATCCCGCGCGTTCGGAAAAAAAGAGCTTCGTACGATAGGTACGCCGGTGCTTTCACCGTTGTTCCACGGGCTCGGGCACGGTCGCGGGAATCGAAAGAGTTGGACGGCGAGAGAGGTGCATTGGCCGCGGTGCAACTTCGCTTTCTAGAGGCTGTTTAGATCGCGGGATTACCCGCGGCCGGTGCACCGCGACGCCGTATCGAGGATCGTCGCGCGATCCTGGCACAATGTGGATCACCGGCTGTGTCCGCGGACTAGAATTTACGGGGAGTGCGTGCCGACATGGCCGCCGGATTTCTAGGCGTCGATACGTGCGAATGAAAATCGCGGCACAAAACCCGTGTGCACACGCCTGTGTCCGCTCGTTAATGGAAGAGCGAAAGTAAAGCGTTTACGCGCGCGATCACCGCGCGCGGACCGTTTACGTTACTTAATTCGCGGCGTGTAGTCGTTGCTCGTCACGGTCCCCCGAGAAAAATACAGGGTGTCCCGAAAATGTCTCGTAATCCGAAAGTGGCGGGTTCCTCTGGTCGTTTGAAGCAACTTTTTCCTTTACAAAAATTTTCTCCGAGGCACCGTTAACGAGTTATTAACGAAAAACAGCGACCAATGAGGGGCGAGCTCGGCTGGCGCGAGGCGACCGAGCCAATGAGCGGAACAGGGCTTCGCGCGCTGGTTGGCTGGGCCGCCTCGCGTCAGCCGTGCTCGATTCTTATTGGTCACTGTTTTTCGTTAATAACTCGTTAACGGAGCCTCGGAGAAAATTTTTGCAAAGGAAGAAGCTGCTTCAAATGATCCGAGGAACCCNTCCCATGGCGTCACCGCCAAGTTAAGTGCCGGTCACCGATGACCCCCGTGGCATTCAACGTGTTAAAAAAACAGAAGAAATCTCTTATTGTTACTCTTACAAACTGATATAAAACAGCTGTCCTTTGTGCTCCGTAAATCTAGCGTTGCATCGCGAATTCAAATCTGCGCATTCCACGCTGCACGTTGTTCTCTCACGTCCACCGAAGGGCTCCGGCCATTGACAATAAATCAAACGAATGGTAACGGCTACGTTGGCGGAGACATCGGCATCCGAGATATCGGCGGACGAGAAAAGAAAACGAAACGAGCATCCCGCGCGTTCGGAAAAAAAGAGCTTCGTACGATAGGTACGCCGGTGCTTTCACCGTTGTTCCACGGGCTCGGGCACGGTCGCGGGAATCGAAAGAGTTGGACGGCGAGAGAGGTGCATTGGCCGCGGTGCAACTTCGCTTTCTAGAGGCTGTTTAGATCGCGGGATTACCCGCGGCCGGTGCACCGCGACGCCGTATCGAGGATCGTCGCGCGATCCTGGCACAATGTGGATCACCGGCTGTGTCCGCGGACTAGAATTTACGGGGAGTGCGTGCCGACATGGCCGCCGGATTTCTAGGCGTCGATACGTGCGAATGAAAATCGCGGCACAAAACCCGTGTGCACACGCCTGTGTCCGCTCGTTAATGGAAGAGCGAAAGTAAAGCGTTTACGCGCGCGATCACCGCGCGCGGACCGTTTACGTTACTTAATTCGCGGCGTGTAGTCGTTGCTCGTCACGGTCCCCCGAGAAAAATACAGGGTGTCCCGAAAATGTCTCGTAATCCGAAAGTGGCGGGTTCCTCTGGTCGTTTGAAGCAACTTTTTCCTTTACAAAAATTTTCTCCGAGGCACCGTTAACGAGTTATTAACGAAAAACAGCGACCAATGAGGGGCGAGCTCGGCTGGCGCGAGGCGACCGAGCCAATGAGCGGAACAGGGCTTCGCGCGCTGGTTGGCTGGGCCGCCTCGCGTCAGCCGTGCTCGATTCTTATTGGTCACTGTTTTTCGTTAATAACTCGTTAACGGAGCCTCGGAGAAAATTTTTGCAAAGGAAGAAGCTGCTTCAAATGATCCGAGGAACCCGCCATTTCCGGATTACGAGACATTTTTGGGACACCCTGTATGTACAGATCTGGCCACTCTCTTAAGTTGCCCCGAGAAATCCCCGTGATCCACGAGATCCTCGCGATCGCCGCTCCTTTCCACCGTAATCTCGGTTTGCGCAACTGTGAAATAAACGAACGCGCTTCTCTGTTTTCGCAGGGGCAAATACGCGGCGGTCAGGCGATGTCGGGAGAGATCCAGCGGGAGACAATGGGCCGCCAAGTTCCTCAGGAAGAGGAGACGGGCCCAGGAGCTAAGGGCGGAGGCTCTCCACGAGGTCGCGGTGCTGGATGCTGCGGCGAACTGTTCCAGGCTGGTGTCTCTTCATCAGGTGTTCGAGACCAACACCGAGATGGTCTTGGTACTGGAACTGTAAGTAATCTGCTCCTCTTATCTTCTTATCTCTCGCACCGTTGTCTAACGAAGGTCTCACGCGCGACAGTGGTTCTCCCTCGATCTTCGTTCTCATTTATTTAACATAATCTGGTTGGATGTCCTTTTTAGTTTTCGCAACTTAATTCTGCACAGACTTTGACGTCGTGATAATAATGATAATAATGGTAATGATAATAATTTGTTTACTATCAGACCTTTTATACAATCGGGAATTCACCGGTTTTTTATCGACAGTGTACGATTTTTACTGATCGACTAGTTCTATATACAATGACATTTTATTTAATATACTAATAATTATCGAAAGTTTTGTTTTTTCGTTGTTATATATTAAATAGAGAAGACCTTTACCTTTGTTTAAACCAGATGGTTTATTTAGCAAATACAGAGCTGGTACATAAATGTACAGTGACTGTCACTTAAAATCGAATACCTATGAATTCAGCCGATTTTCACTTATAAAACGTGTTGATTTTTCATCTAATGATAATATCATTAATAATATCATTTTCCTCCCACTTGAACCGAAAATGTTAAATTTGGATTTGTCCGTAAAAATTACGGTTTTTCAAAAAGTAAATTCTTTTCTTTCAAATTCGCGACTCTTCTTTTTATTCTGCAAACTTATCAATGACTTCTTCCGTGCAATTTTGCCATGATAATTTTTTTTTCTTAGTATTTTTCTAATAGTCGATTCATTTACTGTTCTGTTTAAATATCTTTGAACATCTGATGTCAATATGGAAGCACTTATTGTCGGATGATTTTTAATTTTTCGAATAATCCATCGCTCATTCGTTGCATTCGTCTTATCAGATCTTTGTCTGGCTTTATTTAATATTCGATCCTCTCCTTTGTGCCGTTTTATATTGCTTTGGATTGCACTTTTACTCCGATTAATAATTTCACTGATTTCATTATAACTTCTTCCATTTTTATAATGGTAAATTATCAATTCTCGTTCCGCTAATGTAGTTTGTCGCATTTTCTTTATCTTTTGGAAAACAAGCCGAGCAACGCACAAACGACAAAGAAAACAATAACTGAACTTCACTTTCATTGTTTCCAAGCATTGCTAAACAATAAACGATCGGGAATTCATCGGTTTTACAGTGTTATCTACAGTGCACGATTTTTACTGACTGACTAGTTCTATACGCAGCGACAAATTTTATTTAATGTACCAATAATTATTGAATGTTTTGTTCTTCCG